TCTTTCCCTTAGTCTGCACACCTGAAGTTTAGTTTTGCCACTCTGAAAAGTGTTGTCATCTCAGAAAAGAGGATGGAGCTCAGCTTCTACCCTCTGCACTACTGGAGCACAGAGACCTTGAAAGGAGAATTGTGCTAGATAGTCGGTGACAGGAGAACACAAGTCAGAGGCACAGGAAGGCCATACAGCACAGAACAAGTCTGGCCACAAAACTGGGGGCAAGACAAATAATGGACAGTTACCCCTAATAATCCTGGTTTCATGTAAAATTAGATATAGGAGACTACTAGAGTGTTTTAACTTGCTTCTTGATGAATCGTTGTTTCAGCTATATTCATGAATGGATCATACGTGCCATAAAGTACACATAGTTCACAGTTCTCTCCAGGTATTTGTCAAGTACAAGCTAATTCAAATGAGCCATTGTACTACAGAAACCTGACAGAAAGGCAACTATTTCCTAATGGTACCATGAATTACTATTAGGAGAACATAACTGTATGTAAATTGGTATATGAGGCTCCAAAATCCCCACGTAAAAGAAGGTGCATGTGCACATAGTGACAAACGTTCACCTTGCAAGTTCCGTTACGCCTGTTGAACAATCCTCAATAACTTTAAGACTTCACACACCCTCACAAGAAAAGAAAAAAGTCACTTTGCATACACACACACAAACTACTCAAATTACCATTCATAGCAAAAAGGGATACCACCTACCAAGCTTTGGTTTGTACCAATCAAGTACTCAGGGAATAAAAGCATAGAGAGATAGCCATAAAAACTTGTCTTCCCCTTGTGAATGTGCCTGTCTTCTTCACTCTTAAAGTGTGAAGTCTTCACCATTAAAGATAACTGTATTTTATTTTCATTTCTTTCTCCCGTCACCTCTCACTTGAGGGAAGTTTCAGGGCAATAGAATTTCAAGAGCAAAATAACTCACTGATCAAGCAGGAAGAATACCAGTTAGACTACTACTAACCTTCAAAGACATAAAATTTTCCAATTCAGAAACACCTGGAGCAAGTTTGATAAAAAATAAAGAACAGGAGCCTTAATAAGTACAATTAAAAATTTATTTTTCTCTTTCTGCATTGAAGTGAGTACATGTTGACACACAATGTGACAGAAAAAAAAAAAAAAGTAATCTGGATACCAACTAAGGTTGTAAGTGTATTTTACTTTGCAACAGTCCATAATTTCAGCAGGGAAATAGAAGAAAAGGGAAAACACATAATTTTGGATGGTACATCATCCAGCACCTCCAGTTTTACTGGTGGTTTTTTTCCTTAATATAGGTTAGACCACCCCCACCCACCCCCAAAAACCCACTCACAGCACACTTTTGGCAAAAGTCCCTGAACATGAGTCTTCCCACCCTCACAAACATTCAGTACATTTTATAAAACAGGCTCAGTGGCACTTTCTCTTTAATATGACTTTAGTAACATTTTGAAATACAGTGCATCCACACTGCAATTCACTTTTCTGTAAGGCTAATGACATAAGGCAAACATTACCTTATCTCTCAAATATTCCATGATAAGACACTCTTAGTACATTTATCTCTGTTTAAATGCAGAGATGCCTTATTTCCCCTTGTTGCTTTTCCTCCTGATCAAAAAAGCAATTCAGGGAGATGGTGTGCTATACACATTACAAATTGCAAGGTACTAGGAAGTTAGAAAGAAACAGGCATGAATAAAAATAAACAGTATTCACATATCTAAAACTTATTTCCATCACTTAAATAATTTTGTCTGCAATTACAAAATACATACACTTAAATATCTTTGTAAGAAACAATCATCTAAGATATCACAGATTACAATTTGCTTTTGATAATCTAACTGCCCTAACTCCAGAGTAAAGATATACCTGGACAGTGTTACTACCTAGGATGTTTTCCTATTCTAATTAGTTTTCTTAAATATACAGTAAATTCTCTCTAGCTATTCTGACAGTGCAAATAAAGACATTCTTTGGGTCACACTTTTGAAGCATTACCACCAGTGCTGTCCTCCATTTAATATTGTTTTAGTGAATGACTAACAAAGTATTCTAAGTACACACATTTCCTAACATGAGTGTAACAGTGTTTCCTGTTACTCGGCTTAATGCAGGTCACAAAAAAATGAGCCAGATGCAATACCCCTCACCTATCCAAAACATATGTTGTATTTATACTTAAATAAATAACTTCAGAAACCTACTTATAAGTTCCCCATTTCTTTCCATTTATTGTTATTATCCAATGGCATACTACATCATATCATACCAAAATATATTTAAAGATGACAAAGATCAGTTCAGAAGTAGTGCTCAAAGGCAATGAAATAATGCTTTGAGAACCTAAGTTAGGCCTACATAGATCCAGCACATGGTATAACAGAATAATTTACACTTCTTTTAGAGTCAACTACTGATTTGCCCTAGCCAAAGATAAAAAGCTTATCTTAAATGTGACCTATCGTAGACGTCGCAACAAAAAGTAGCCCTGTTTGCTATCTAATATTTCTTGCTGGTTTTACACGCTTATTTGAAGTTACTGACATCTGATTGCTAGTTCCATTAGTGGTATTTGTTGCTGAGCCATTCACAACAATGTAATCAACTTTGTTTTCCAGTTTCACAAGGCGTTGCAAGATGTCATCCAGAAGAACAGCAATTGTTCTCTTAAGATCAGCTGCAGGTAATGGAAAAAATAAATTAGATCCTACTGTTTACTACCTGTGGAAAAGAACTGCAATTTCAATCTGTTCCCATCTTAAGACTTGCTATCCTTCCTACTATACCTTTTGGGAAAGAGTGCAGACTACTATGCAAGTACAGAATTAAACAGCTGCTTGATTTTTGTTTGCCTCTTTTGAAGTAAGGAAGATGCAACCATAATAGTGAACTGTGAGCAAAGGCAATTAAATATTCAAATGTCAGAATAAAATCACTAGTTGGAACATTAGACTAGTGACTATTCAAAGGCAGTATTTCAAATTTCATCCAGACACCAGTACTAGAATACCCAACCTTTTAGCCTGGGACAGCAACCGAATATATTTAAATACTTTTCAACATGAAAAAGGAAATTCTAAATAGCTTTCCTTTAAACAACAGATCTGTCCACAGAAAAACTGCTTTGAGAAAGTATCATATCACTTCTTACAGAAACTATAAAGCAGAGGAAAAAAATCCATGTTTTTAGGCCTATATAGATTGAAAACCAAAAGAAAGGACAGTAAAAAAAAATCTGCTATTCTATTTCTTTCAATGAAAGCTTTTTGTCAATGTTCATAACATTATCTTCTCTGAGATTTGGAAAAAAATAAACATACTCACCAGGTTTTAAAAGGTGTTAAGATTCCACCCAACACACGCAGAAGCCCCACCCTCCCCCCCCCCAGTCAGTTCTTAACTAATTAAAAAAAATTGGGGAGGAAAAATACAAGTATGAACGTGAAAAAGAGGAGTAACCCAAATAAAATTAGAATACTAGTAGTAAATAATAAATAAATAAACAAACAAGAAAATCTCGGGTCAGTCTCTCCCTCTAAAACTAGTTCTTGTTTAGTAATGCAATCTTTGGGGAAAAAAAAATAAAAAAAATTAAGTATTGCTTTACAATTTCAGCCAGAGCAGAATATGCTGTTACTGACATGCTGTAGTAATATAATGTGTAGTGTTGTTCTGTGCTCAGCAGTCTGAAGGAAGAAATTCAAGTTATAAGTCTGATGATCAGCATGTAGAGCAAGAGTTGACTTAATATTTTTTTTTATTAAACTCCAGGCAAAACCTCAGAAGGCAAATCTCATTTGGAAATACACTGTAATACCTACAAAGCAATAAAAAGCTGCAGTACAGAAGGGTTTTCAAAAACAAATTACACAGAAAAGTAACTACACAGTAAAGGCAGGAAATCCTTCAAGACAAAAAGAAAGGGGATGGGGAAGAAAAGGCGGAAGAAAAAGTAGTATCTTACTCTGGTAAAAATGTTAACTTAATGAAGAATTAAAGGCTAAGACATTTTGATACTGTCCTCCTCTTGGATTGCTTACTGCTCATTTTGTCATCACAGACTTGTCTCCTTGCTCCTGAGCTGCAGCAAAAGAGTTCAGACACAGTTTTGCTGTTTGTACTCTCACCAGAATGCCTGTAAAAGGAATCCTATGACTGGGAGAGCCCTTTTAAAGATTCCTTAGGAAGGGAATCATAATATATTAGTATAGATTTTTTTCTTTTTTAATATTTCTTTTAAAGCCTTGTACTACTCTTATTTTCACAGATACCTTATTTCCTTATGACAGAACACCAGTAGCTTCTTCAAACCTAATCCCTAATGGGATTAGAGCTCATTGCAGCCTTCCCTCAAGAGAAGCTACAAGGGACTAAAGAGTTAAAATCATTAAGATATTTTTATAGTTTTGATACAAAGGTCTAAAAACTAGTCTCAAAATTATCTTTTCTGTGTTTCAGAAGACAAGCACACATTCTAATAATATATTACAAGTGAATACTGGAAACATATTCATCAAGTGAACAGGTAAATCAGGGAGATACAATGCACATACCAAAGCTCTAGAGACAAGGAACCTTATCTCTAGTGGCTTCTTCTAAAATAAAGCAAAAGGAGGTTCTGCTGAATTCATAATTGCCTTGCAGGCTCAAGACTGCAAACTCAACTACTATGTTGCTTTCTGCTGCTTTTTTAAATACTTAAAACAGAAAAAAAATCAAAGAAATAGAAGCAGAAAGTTAGCAATGAGGCACAAAAAGAATCTGTAATGTTGAAGTGACTCAATCTAAAACTTTATCCCCATATCAAGCACATGCTTACTCCTCAAGAGATCCAGAAAAAGCACAATGTTGCTGTTAATCCTCTAACAGCAGCCATGTAATTGGAGAAATCTAGAAAATTCCTGGAAAACAAAAATCTCATGTCTCAAGCTTGATTTTTCACCACATCTTACCTTCAATAAGTGAATAAACTAAAATTGCATCAGTTAGTACAGAGATTTATCTTTCTCTTAAAGAGCAGTATAGAATACTTTAAGGAAAAAAAAAAATTGTAACCTTACAGTTTTCAGGAAAAACAGATATTCCAGTAACTTTTTCCTCTTACCATATCCTGCCATAGAGGCTCCACCAGCACCATTCATTAAATTTTTATTTTCTTCTGCCAGTGCTTTGACGTATCTTTTACTGAGGTCTAGTATCTGTCCACGCAACTCGGCACTGCTCTGACGCCTTGGATACAGGAAAGTGTAGCGTAGCAACATCAAACCCCATATTATTCCAAAGACTAGTAAAAACATGCTCAGTTTCTGGGACATATTTTTCCTTGAAAATGTTAGGAACATTTCTGATGAAGGCCACAGGTGATTCTTAATTTCAAGGTAAGTAACTGAATGTGGCTTTGTCGAATGATATCACATATTAAACAAAAATCAGATTTCTACAACATGAAGAATCTTCTGGCTGGATCATCTTCTCATGTTTTAGTAGGTCTTGATTCCTGAAATTTGTAAAATACTACATGGTTATTCAAAACTGCTACTGTTGTTTAGATCAAGGACAAGTATCAGTTTCCAAATGAAGTATTATTGTATGATCTAGCAAACGGTTGTGGATTTGTACCTGCTTAGAGGTACATTCACCTTCCTATTCCACCTGTTGTTTAAATTGCTATTTTCTTTTTAAAACAGCCATTTAAAATAGTTGTATTTTACATTCTGTAATTTGAACTGACATAAAACCCAAACAAAATGCAATACCTAGAAGGGAATTTTAAAACACATAAAACACTTTGATGAGTTACACACTAGAAAAAGATCTTATTAAATTATTCACTTCATTCTTACTTCTCACTTAGAAGCATAAGGCAAGTATAATCAGATAAAATGCAGAACAATGTTTACTCATCAGTTAGTTCAAAGTTGATCTTCGTCCTCTTCTTGTTTTCTACAGCATGAAGGTTTTTTTTTTCTTTCGGTGTTTTGTTCATAAAGAAGAAAATAAAACCAAGACAAACTGGCACATTGCACTCACTTTTAGCATTTTACTGCTGCTTCTGATCCCTCAATAGATTAAGGCTTCAGATGATAAACAAATGGTAGGAAAGCTTCAGCAGATAAACAGCAAACATCCAGACAGTTTGAAGCAATATAAGCCAGACATCTTTAGGGAGTTCTGTATTGGGAAAAACAAACAAACAAACAAACAAATAAAAATTTAACAAAACAAAGTGCAGGACTAAAAAACCCTTCATTTTCATGTGGAGTGGCTAAAGTTGAGAGCTTCAATCCACATGCTTTTAAAAAAGAAATAATTTTTTAAACCTAACTTGCATCAATTGTTAAGGAAGGACATAAAATCCATTTTAATTTTATTATAAATGCACATTTGAATGCCAAGCAACTCATTTCAACATACTTAGAAAAAACAACTTCCTAAGGATCTCACTGAAATGAGTCCCTCTTCTTGTGTTATAAGACAATGACAGCAGATGTTCCAGATTCATCATATATGTATTTACACATATTTACATATGTAACATTCACTTTTCCCCCTCAAACGAATCAAATATTTTCAGTCTCTTTACATGCATATACCTTGTATTTCTCATTTTCAGCCACTTCTGAAACTTCTCCAATTACTCAATACCTTTTTGAGGCACAGTTTCTATTATTTAACATGGTCTAGATAAAGCTACTCACTTTACATAAGTTACGTTTTCCCTGTTATTCCCTGCTTTTCCTCATATATTACCTGCCATGAGCACTTCTCAGACCGAAGTTACACATTTAATAGAGCTTCCACCAGACTGTCTATGGTGCTACTTAGATCTCATTTTATTGGAATATTGAGATCACATTTCTTATCCTGCTAAGCAGCGATCTAAATGTAAAGTCTCCACCTCCCTGGTATTTTTTGTTGCCTCTGTTGACCAGTTCAGCTGGGCTTATGCTGACACACCACAGTCTGCTGCAAACACAAATGTCACCGCCAGCGGGGTTCTGAGTTGTGCTTGTTGCTTACCCTTCATTATCACTCTCCAGATAATCCTCTCAACAGCCAGGCCAACATGACTGATTCAAGTGGGAAACTGAATTTCAAAGTGCTGTAAAATCAGCATGCATATCTAAATTATTCTGAAAATTATCAACTCAAGGCAGAGGTAATATTAGGACTTGGACAACAAAGCTGCTGTAAAGAGTCACTGTGCATAAAATGCCCTTTAGTAACTACCAGTATATAAATCTCATTTTTACTGTTGGATGTACTAAGTGCCAGTTACAAGTCACTGAATGAGGAATAGCTTCCTTCACCTAAATGCAGGGATATGACTGTGCAGACGGACCAACATGCAGTAATTTGAAATCCCACTGTGAATTCAGTGGGATGTACTTTGTTCAGAGAATATACTTATCCCTGGAAAAACTAGGTTTAAGACACAAATTTGTCTTAGCTACATAGAGCAGGAAAGAAAACAATAAAAACCTATATGCTACAGCATCAGCACAAATATTTGGAATTGCGTGGATTTCCTGAAACAGATCCTCTCTAAATGTGAGCCAACCAAAACTTCTCTTCCCTATCTCTTTGCCACATCATGGCTCTGCACTCAGACTTTAGAGCATAAACTGCACCTATATCATTATGCATCTACACAGTCCCTGAATAGTATCAAATATGATGTAAAACATTTACATATGAGGTCCGGGAGTAGGGTATTCACACGATGGCTCAGAAGACCAAAGAGTATCTCTCAAGGAGAGACCACAAGTTTCAAATCCCATTCTCAAAAGTCCAAATTGCATATTATTTATTAAAAAAAAAAAAAAAAAAAGTCTGAAAACAACAGATAGCTCTTGCAGTTTAAATTAAGTTCAGCTCTCCACAGATCTCTAGCCATATCTCATCATGAAGCATTTAGACAATATCACTACAGAGCTTTGGAGTGGAAATAACTCTGCCATCACGCTGTAAATAAGACCACAAGCCAGCATAAGAGTCCTAGCCAAGAGGAACAGATTGAATAAACTCCTGCCAAGGAGCAGTAGGAATTACAAACTGGGTCTTTGCCATGGATATTTGATTCACAATGCACATGTTGAAACTAACTGAAACTAATGGACATCAAGGACTTAACCTGCTGGCCTAACACCCAAATACTGACACTGGGCAAAGGAACTGGGAATAAGAAGCACCAAAATGACAGGAACTATTTGTACTTGTCACTTTTCCTATGTATTTTTATAGGCCATTCCCACTCAATGAATTCCAGTGTAATTTCAAACTTCTGCAGATGTGGTCTCCTCTTTCTTCATGAACCACACACTTCTACTGACCCATAACACAATCCCTGCAATACCTTCCAAGACAATATAGTATGGAGTAACAAAACAAACAAAAAGCCAAAACCAAAGCAAAACAAAAAAGCAAGCTTATACCTGTGTGATTTGCAAGTATGAAAAAAGGGTAGCAGAGCAGCAGGTGTACATATTGAAATAAGATGGATGGATTGGAATATTATTTTACCTCTTGTTGCCCTGAAGGGTCAGCACTTCTCTACATTAACACTTTAGTTTAAACAAAGCTTGTCCTCAGAATGGACCTCTGTTTTCAGAAATTCAGACCAAATATTCTGCAAGATAACAGCCTATTTTTAAGAAAGAACATGGTCTCTTTTGATCTTTCTTCTCTGTCATTCTTTCAGCTCCTCCTTATCCATGGCTTCCTGAGAATGGGAAAAAGGAAGCTGACACTTCCAATTCACACTGACTTAGCCTAGGCAGGAACTCAGGACTACCACTCTCCCAGTCACAGCTAAGAAAAAATAAAAACCACCAACAACAAAAACAAAAAGCCACAAAAAAAAAAATCGAAATCCCAACCCAAATCAAACAAAATCCCCTGACCTGAATATGCAGGCAAAATGGCAATCCATGAAAAAGAGAGCATGTTCCAGATAATCCTTTCAATAGGCAGCCTGAAGTTACTGATTCAAGTGGCAATTTTTCAAAGTTCTCTAAAATCAGCAGACATATCTAAAGTACAAGCCCCAGTCAGGGGCAACATTAAAACTTGGAACTACAGGGAATTCATGAACAGAGGATCTGAGACTAGGTTTGCCTTTCACAGACATTAAAGAGTCTGGTTTTCTTCACTGTTGCCACTGCTGGTTCTCTAAGAAAGTAAATTCAACATGGATTTAACACTGACGTGCATCTGGCAATGAAAACAATTAACTAAGGCACTCATCCTCTCCAAAATAAAATCATATTTCTATCCTCTGAACTGTGTTCCAACATCAGTCATATAAAAATTATATTACTGAATCCAGGAAACAAAAGGAAGAAGGGCCAAAGAAAAAGCAACAGAAAATCTATTATACATTCCATAACAGAGCAGAATTTTAGTATCTCTGATGCTACTTAAGCATCAGACTCCAGTTTGAATACTCCTCCATGGAAACCAGCCAACATTTATAAAACATCATACTTGAATTTTGAAATGTTGTTGCAAAGTCTTCCTCAGATTCTGCTTTACTTATGCTCAGCAAAACCCAGAGATTATGTTAATGTATAACATAAAAAATGCAATAGCCCGTAAGGTAAAGGAATGCCTCTCGCATCCCCTGAAACAATCTCAGGGTATCATGAGAACAAGGCATACCAAAATCTTTTAATTTTTACAACACTGCTTACAGCACTGTCACTTCTGCTAGCTTGGCAGATCACAGAAGTCTGGTACGTATTTGTCATCACTGCTCCAGTCTGTCTGAGATCTCTCAGCCTTTCTAAACCACTAGGAGTGGTTATCAGCATCAGCAGGACAAATTTAAAAGTGTGCGTACCTTCTGATGTTGAAAAATGTACAGGACAGATTAAGGTGATTCTTTATAGAGGAAAAGCAGTGAGACCATCAGGTATTTTTGGTACTTATTAGTAAGCCACTTCAGCAAAAAATTAACAGAGTCAGCAAGAGGTGAAAAACAGAGAAGCCTGAGAATTCCATTACATTTGTGGATCAAAAAGACTTTAGGGATAAAGCCAAGAAAAATGCACTTAAAATAGTATTTTCAACATACAGTCCAATAAAGTCACCTCTTTGGTTATATATTTTGAAAACAAGAATGCCAAATACTGAGGCAGTAGTTCCTCAGTGATACCCTAGAGACGTATATAGATCTCTAATGAACTAATATATTAAGAAAGTAACCTTGATAAATGGGAATTTTACTCAATCTATTACTTATTACCATAATACTTATCTGCTCCTCACTGCTGAATTACAATGAACATGACACACTGAATTCAAAAGCAAATCTGGCTTTGCAACCAATTATTAAGTGTATAAACACAAGAAGTGATTTATCAAGACAGAGATTAAATAAAAAAATAAAATGCCAGATACAGTCATAGGAGACTATATCCAACTACAAAACAGAGGAAGGGGGGGAAAAAATCTTGTAACAGAACAGACAGCAGACTGCAGTTAGGACAGTACAAAT